CAGCACAAGGAAGAGGTCGTGTCGTGCGGGTACGACGAGACGGACAGGACGCTCGTGCTCTCTGGTCGGCCGCTGAGGCTGAAGCTGAACGACTACATCCGAGACTGGCACTCGCGGCCGCAGGAGATCAAGGAGCTCTGCGACAAGGGCATCGTGCCCATCGAGAAGGACTTTGACGACGGCAAGGACATTGATTTGCCGCACCTCATGGGCCAGGTGGCTGGGTCGATAAAGAAGGTCCAACCAGCCGGTGAGATTGTCGAGGAGATGGTCCAGGAGGCCGTAAGTATGCTTCAGTTGGGAGGATCATATCTAAGTGGTGGGAAGAGCAGGCTGTGAGGCTGATGTGAATCTGAATTCTGTGTGGCCGTGCTACCCTATAGACAGCGCTCGTTTATTAGTTGATGTTATAGGTAGAACTATCTTTGTATCATTACGGCCCGATGGATGCCAAGTTTGATCGGTGAATGAATCTGCTTAATGCCTCGTTTTGAATTTATCCACCCTGGCAATTTTAGACGGTCTCCTTCTGATTCCCAGTCGACAATACGAGAGCGGACGAGAGTGGACATGAGCCAAGAGAGAGCGTTCCGCGGACCTCGATCACCCGATGGCCCGAGTTAAGAGCCTGAAGTATTGTTATTACATACAGGGCTAACTTGCAATGCGCATTTGGTCCCAACCGAAGGACTTCAGAAATAGGTGGGGAACAAAGAGCCGTAGTGATCGGCAGCGAACCTCGTATAAGTTTTGAAGAGCGCGCAAATGGGAACTCACCGACCTCGGGACCTCTGCCAGCTTGCAGGGTGTGTTCCCTTCAATGACAGGCTTATTTCATAGCGTCGTATGAAGAAGAGGGTCATTTGCGTTCATCGTCATGAGAGAATACGCTGAGTGCTAGTTGTCATGCATTGCCTGAGTGGATGCGCGGCGCCAGTATTCCCGTCTATTAATGCCATCTAATTCTAGACTAGACGAGATTCGGAGCGCCCCCGCTGTGAGTAGTTGAGAATACTGCGCCATGCTACGTAGTTGACTCTCTAGTCGGCGGGATTTGGAAGGGTTCTGGATGGTTTTGAACCCCCAAATAATCTCTACACTACCACAATTCCCAAATTGGCTGAGCCGGTTATGTGGAGCTCGCCGATGCCACCCCCGTCTTGCTCGGCCATGTGTATACGAGACTCTATGCCCAAAGTGCTGCAAGTGTGGGCTCGATTTAGGTCAGGTGGGCAGGATGGACATAACTCTATCCTTTCCGGGCTCAACGGCTCCTCATTTCCGGCTGTTTCTGACGACACGCCTTGTTGAGTGCCGACTGGGGAAACCCTTGGCTATTCTATCCTGGGACGTCGTAAAGTGACCTTCGGATGGCACCGCGGGATCAACATGCAAGGTCATGTTGCATGGAAGAGAAACCACAGCCCAGCCTTCTTGGCACACATCTGTGCGGACCGAGCAGGTCTCGGCAGCCGTCATAGCCATCGAGATGCCGGGTGAGATTGCTGCTTGACGATGGCCACTCGAGTATAAAAGGAGTCTTGTCGGCCTCGTTCTCAAAGTCTGAACGACATCATCACTCCCATCTTCATCAATCACATACCAACAGCTCTCAGCTTCAAGAAAAAACAACTCCTCCACTACTTTCAACCACCCACCTCGTTGCCAAATACCAAAAACCGCAACCATGCAGTTCTCTACCGCCGCCCTCTTCACCACCCTCCTCTCTGCCAGCGCTCTCGCAGTCCCGGCCCAGGTCAAGGACATGTCTGCCTCTGCCACCTGGACCATCCAGAGCATGAAGCGCACCTGCAACGGCGACGACACATCCTGCGACTGGTCCTTCGGCATCAACACCGGTGCTGGTACCACTGCCTGCGCCTACTCCGTCGGCAGGGACGGCAACACCATCGCCAGCCGCTCCCCCAACCGCGGAAAGAACTGCGGCGCATTCACCATCACCAGCGCCTGGAGCGGCCAGTTCGGCGACGACAAGGGCTTCACCACTCTGAGCGTCGTGGACAACGGAGCTCGACTGATTGCCTGGCCCGCCTATACGGACCAGCAGCTCGCCAACGGCCAGGTGGTCCAGCCTGACCAGAGCTACCCCGTCCAGGCTCTGCCTTAAGAGGTTGTCCAATCTGAACGAGGAATTTGGAGGATTATAGTCTCATCATGTTAGCCTAAATGTATACGAGTAGAGACAATACTTGCCAAGTAATATGATAGTTTGTTAATTGCATAATAAAATCATATATAAGTTATTAGAAAAACAAGAAGGCCCCTTTTTACTACTTCGCTTGATAAACATGTTGTACCAGTGTAATTGATTTTCAATTTGCGGAGTTGTTTAGTTGAGGTTGATGAAGAAGTAGAAGAGAAACATGAAAAAGGTACGTACAGAGGTACAATGCGCCTACGGCCCCACTCCACGCCACCCCACTAAACTGCCGAAACGGTCCAAGCAAATCGCTTTTGCTGATAAGCAGAAAAAAAAAGTGCCTGCAACTTTTCTTATCGAGAAAAGCATCAATCCCAGTGTCGGCTCTGCAATCTAGCGACAATACCAAACCGCCTCAATCCCCCCAAACCGACCCCCTATAGCCGATAAAAAATGGGCGCCGCTACTCTCAATAAGAAGCGCAAGCTCAAGGACGCCGAGGAGGCTGTCGCTGCGCCCAAGAAGACCAAGAAGTCCAAGGTTCCCCCGCCGGTAGTCGAGCCATCCAGCGACGAGGAAGAGGACGAGGACGAGGAGGACGTTCCTTCAGACTCAGACGATGAGGATGAGGCTGAAGAGAATGGCGAGAAAGAGGATGGAATTGCAGAAGACGGCGACGAAGAGAAGGAAGAGGAGGACGACGGCGACGATAAAGACGAAGCCGATGGCGAAGACCTCGCACAGGACAACGCACCGCTCCTCCCTCCCAGCACCGACTCAGAATTGTTCGAGGATATGAACCTGTCAGAAAAGACCATGAAGGCGATCAAAGAGATGGGATTCACCAAGATGACTAGCATTCAGCGCAGTGTAAGTATTGCTCTTCAGCGCTTTCCGCCATCCACCAAGAGAGATGGAAATCCGACTAATCTTTATTCAGGCCATCCCACCCCTTCTAGCCGGCAAGGATGTTCTCGGTGCCGCCAAGACCGGTTCAGGAAAGACTTTGGCCTTCCTGATCCCCGCCATCGAGATGCTCAGCTCCCTCCGCTTCAAGCCTCGCAACGGGACTGGCGCCATTGTCGTCTCCCCCACCCGAGAGCTTGCTCTTCAGATCTTCGGCGTCGCTCGCGAACTTATGAAGAACCACTCGCAAACATATGGCATTGTTATTGGAGGCGCAAACCGCAGAGCAGAGGCCGAGAAGCTGTCAAAGGGTGTCAACCTGATCATTGCCACGCCTGGTAGACTTCTGGATCACCTGATGAACACACCCTTCGTCTTCAAGAATCTCAAGTCCCTGATCATTGATGAGGCGGACCGAATTCTGGAGGTTGGTTTCGAAGATGAGATGAGGCAGATTGTCAAGATTCTCAAGAACGAGGACCGTCAAACTATGCTCTTCTCGGCTACACAGACCACCAAAGTTGGTAAGTTGTCATACTAATCAGCTTCTTCAGACTTGGAGCCCTAGATATCTGACACTGTATCTATAGAGGACCTTGCGCGAATCTCTCTGCGCCCCGGACCGTTATACATCAATGTCGACCAAGAAAAGCAGTACAGTACCGTTGAGGGCCTAGAGCAGGGCTATGTCCTGTGCGAGGCCGACAAGCGCTTCGTCCTGCTGTTCTCCTTCCTGAAGACGATGAAGGACAAGAAGAAGAAGGTCATTGTTTTCTTCAGCAGTTGTAACTCGGTCAAGTACTACGCCGAGCTGCTCAACTACATTGATCTTCCCGTGTTGGACCTGCATGGCAAGCAGAAGCAGCAGAAGCGAACGAATACCTTCTTCGAATTCAGCAATGCCCCCCACGGTATCCTGATCTGCACAGATGTTGCTGCTCGTGGATTGGATGTAAGTTGCCCGAAGGGAAATTTAACTCTCCTGCCACAGCTGATGCTAATCAAGTTTAACAGATTCCTGCTGTCGATTTCATTGTTCAGTTTGATCCCCCTGACAATGCCACCGATTACATTCACCGCGTCGGTCGAACGGCCCGTGGCACGAATAATAAAGGGCGGTCTCTGATGTTCCTGCAACCCAACGAGGTGGGCTTCCTCACTCATCTCAAGGCCGCCCGTGTCCCCGTCGTCGAGTTCGAGTTCCCCGCCAAGAAGATCAAGCCCGTCCAGTCCCAGCTGGAGAAGCTGATCGGGCAGAACTACTTCCTCTCACAGAGCGCCAAGGAGGCCTTTAAGTCCTATTTGCACGCGTATGCCAGCCACAGCCTGCGCTCCGTGTACGATGTGAACAAGCTTGACCTCACCAAAGTCGCCAAGAGCTTTGGTTTCTCCACGCCTCCACGCGTGGACATCACCCTGGGGCAGAGCATGGGCAGGAACAAGGTGCAGGGCAGGAGGGCGTACGGAAGCCAGCCGAAGCAACACACTGGATTCAAGGGAAGACGGAAGGCTTAATACGTCTCACTCAAAAGTAATTTGGGGTTGCGAGGGTAAACAAAAGAGTCAGTCATTGTATATAGGCGTTTCTGGTGCCTCATTGTCGGGTGTTTTGCCAAGGCCAGTAAATGAACTTAGAATATCTTTCAACTGCTTGCATTGAATGTGATGTTTAATTCCAGTGAGGAGAATTGTGGCATCAAGAGAAGAGAACGTCGAATTAAGCATACCTAAACTACTGAAGCTGTTTGTTCAGTGAGAGTTGCCCTGCCAGTGGACTCAGTACAGGCGCCGTAGTGATGGCAGGGGTGATTGGGCAGGGCCTGAGCCAAGCTTTAGCTTCGTCAGCTCCTGGAATTTTAGTGAGACGCGGCATTGCACTGCCCAGCGAACGCCCTCGTCATTTTCATGCTTGATCTGATCAATTGAGCCTCATTTTCATGTGGTAGAATCTCTCATTTGTTTTCATTACACTCTCTTGGTTTCCCTTACCTAAATACCTAATTTGCAGACCGGCATCACGCTCCTTCTCGTAATACCCCCTAGCTAATAGCAGCCTGTCCTGTATCTGTATATCCCAACAGCAGACATAGCTTCCCTTCCTTGCTTTCATATTGAAGCATCACCCGCCTTGAGGTGAAGACATTCAGCCATGGACGCCCATAATGCCATCGTGACCAAGGTCTCAGAGCGCGTCAAGCACTTCCACTCGCTCCAGCAGCCCTTCCGCATTTACCATGGCTCAACCAACAGCACCCGCCAGTCGCACCGCAACGCAGACAACACCGTGGACACCAGCAAGCTCACAAACATCCTGTCCATCGACAAGGAGCGTTCCACCGCCATTGTAGAGCCCAATGTGCCTCTCGACGCCCTCCTAGATGAGACCCTGAAGGTTGGCCTCATGCCCCCCGTTGTGATGGAGCTGCCCGGCATCACCGTTGGGGGCGGCTTCTCAGGCACTTCCGGAGAGAGTAGCTCGTTCCGCTACGGCGCTTTCGACTCAACCGTGGAGAGCATTGAGATTGTCCTTGCAGACGGCACCATTTCCAAGGCCTCGAGGACCGAGAAGCCCGATCTGTTCTGGGGCGCTGCATCTGCCTTCGGCACCGTGGGAGTGGTCACTCTGGTTGAGGTCAGGTTGAAGCCCGCCAAGAAGTACGTGGCTCTCACCTACAGCCTCTCCAAGAGTGCTACGGAGTACTGTCAGAAGTTCAGAGAGGAGATTGATAAGAACGAGATCGACTTCCTCGATGGCATCTCCTACGCCACTGACTCGACCGTGGTTTGTTCTGGAGTGCTTGTCGACGAGATCCCCGACGGCCAGAAGCAGATCACCTTCTCCCAGCCCAGCGACCCCTGGTTCTACCTCCGCGCACAGGATGTCCAGAAGCCGCTGAAGGAAGGCAAGGCCGTCGTCGACTACGTCCCCATCAAGGACTACCTCTTCCGCTTCGACCGCGGCGGCTTCTGGACCGCCCGGTACGCCTTCAAGTACTTCATGACCCCGTTCAACAGCGTCACGCGCCGCGCCCTGAACCGCTTCATGCACACCCGCGACATGTTCCGCGCCATGCACAAGAGCGGCATCCAGGACTTCCACGTCATCCAGGACGTCGGGGTGCCCTTCGACCGCGCCCCGGAGTTCCACCAGTGGCTCGACGACCAGCTCAGCATGTACCCCATCTGGCTCTGCCCTCTGCGCGTCCGCCGCGACGACCCGGACTCCGGGCACGGCCTGCACGCCGAGTTCGCCGACCCGGCCACGACGCCGGAGCTGCTCAACTACGGCGTCTGGGGCCCCGTCGACGGCACCCGCCGCGACGCCATGGAGGCCAACCGCAGGCTGGAGCACAAGGTCCAGGACTTTGGCGGCAAGAAGTGGCTCTACGGCCAGGCCTACTACACCGAGGAGGAGTTCTGGGCCCACTACAACCGCGGGCCCTACGACGCCGTGCGTGAGAAGTACGGCGCCGGGTATCTGCCCAACGTGTACGACAAGGTCAAGGTTGACTTTGAGGCCGAGGAGGCGGCGAGGAATGAGACCGCGGTCAAGTCGAGGCTCTACAAGAGTAAGCGGTTGATGGGGCTGTATGGTGTGTATCACGCCTATAAGGGTGGTGATTACTTGATGAAGAAGGAGAAGCCAGCGAAAACGCAGCCTGTTGAGGAGAAGAAGGCTGAGGAAAAGGTCGAGAAGAAGAAGGCCGAGGAGACCAAGGCAGAAGAGCAGAAGACTGAGGAGAACAAGGCAGAAGAGAACAAAGCTGTGGAGAAGAAGGTCGACGAGACCACGCCAGTAGAGACCAAGGCTGTGGAGACCAAACCAGAGGAGAGTAAGCCCGAGGAGAAGAAGGTAGAGTAATATGTTGCTACGATATGAGATGCTATTGGGAGAAGATGGGATCGATGACAATCCTCGGTGCTGCTTCTTGAGCAGTTTGCGTTTGTATACTTTCTTATTTTTCTTTGAATACCTCGTTGCGCAAGCCTTTAGGATAATTGTACAATAATAAATCCATTCGGATATCTCTTACACAACACCCTCACATGACTCAAACCACAACCAGCATCACTCCGAGCGGAAACCGCCCATCCCGCCGGGTTTCTTGCCGCTCAGCTCACCGGCAGCGTTCTTTGCATGCTCCTCCAGCCTCTTTAGCCCGCGCTCTCCCTCCCTCGCGACTGGTTCCATTTGCTTGTCGAGGTCCTTCTTGGGGCGCCCTCCCATGAAGTAGGCGAGACCTGCCAGCACCGCGAGACCACCGCCAATCGCACGCCTGTAATGTGACCATCTATATTAGCGAGGGCTTATTCAATCCAAATGTAGTGGGAGAGTGCGAAAATAATATAACGTTTCATTGCGAATAAGTTTGAGACGTACCAGTTCCGCTTTGCGATGTCGCTGCCTCCCATCGGTGACTGCGGGATCGACTCCTGGCCACCGGGACCGTTGAAGGCACCCTTCCCCGTGGACTGGTTCCGAGCGTTTCGAAGAGGGAAGGGAATGCGACCGCCGCTCATCGTCGGCTGGCGAGTTGCGGCGCGCAGCATTGGGGTTTTCGTAATTGCCACTCTTGGGAACATTGTGAGTGTATGTTCAGTAGTTTGGTGATTTACTTGAGATGATAGAAACTAAGTTCTCTCATTTGAATTGATTGAAGGCGGCATTGCTATTAAGTTCTTTTCGCAAATCGAGATTCCCCTCGATGACTTCACCCAGGTTGTGTGTATGATGTGGCGATGACGCTTCGAGACTGTCATGGGAACCACAAAATGCGGCATGTAACTGCGGACACACTCGCCGCTGAGAACCGCAACCACGGATCTGGATCTGGATCGGTTTTCAGGAAATACTGACGAATAGGTACTTCTAGCGAATCTTTGCCGATTTTGGGGGACAAAGAGGCGAACATCGTTGCTATGGAAGTCAAGTTCCTTGTTTAGGCCATTCAACTGATATTCGATACCTCAACTATATGTGGTATTCCGAGAAACAATACGTTGCTGGGCAGAGTACTAAATTAATAATCGAAATAAAAACAACAATGACACAGCTATGGGACTATCTGCAAGTCTAGGGTTTGATTGGCTGACTGTGAGCGAGTTTGTCCTCCCACACCAAAGATACAATCTCATAGGCAAGCTGGTAATGAAGTACTGGATTATGCTCCCAATGGCGATCACTATAGAGATTTTACTTTATTCCTTCCTCACTAAACCTGCACTGCCAATACGACTAGAACCGGAGTTTATATTCGTTCTTGGCAAACAACATCTATATACCAGCTACAGGAAGCACACCACATCTAACCGAGTATATATTGACAAGTATCCAAAAAGAAAAGCCACATGCCCATCTCATCCGTCACCGCCTACAGCTCGTCGCCCATATCCTCGCGACCCAGGATGGTCACCTTCTCGATCCTGACCCCGCCGTCCGACGACTCGCACGCGGACGACGAAGGGCTCTGCACCTTGGACGTCAGCAGCCTCCCGCCGACGTACTCGTAGTAGATCTCGTGCTTGCACGGCCCGCCATCCAGGCTCACGCCGTCGTCGGTGTACAGGAATCCGCTCGCCGACCCGTCCAGCCCGGGAGCGACGAGGAGCTCGAACCCCTTCTTCCGCAGCTCCGTCGTCGTGTTGGCGCTCTCGGCCCGCAGGGGCACGACGCACCCGCCGCGGATGTGCACGGGGATCCGGTCGTAGCCCACGTAGTCGAGGTTCACCCAGTCACCTTTACCGCGGACGGGCTTGCGCGTGTCCCACTCGTAGAAGATGTCGTCGGGGAGGTAGATGTCGACGCTGGTCGAGTCCTGGTCCGTCACGGGCGACACGAGGACGCAGTCCCCGTAGAAGAACTGGTTCTGGATGGCGAAGGTGTTGCTGTCCTCGGGGTAGATGTACCACAGGGGGTTCAGGGTGGGCGTGCCGTCCACCGACTGCCGGGCCAGGGACGAGTAGATGTAGTCGAGCAGCTTGTACCGGATCTCGATGGCGTACTTTGCCGCGCTGGTGACGAGGCCCCAGAGGTAGAACTCTTGGTTCGGCCCCATGGCGTTGTGGTTGCGGTAGAAGGGGTTGAAGGCCCCGAGGCTGGCCCATCGTGCGCAGAGCCTCTCAGTCGCTGTGCCACCAAAGCCGCAGACCTGAGGAAAATTTCATGGTCAGATATTGAAATGGCTGATTTGGGAGGAGGGAGCTTGTACTTACATCGCTTCCCACCATTGGAATTTGGAAGATGGAGGCAAAGTTCAACATTCCAGCAATCTGAATGCGGCTACAACACCAAAAAGGTTAATCCAACAACCTCGAAGAAACATCAGGGAAGAAAGGGGATAAGTTGGAAGGAGAGGCGTACTAATGATCCCATCCTGAGCCGTTGTCTCCAAGCCACTTGGACATGAATCGTCCAGTACCGGCAAAAGTGCTTCGGGAGATGATGAGCGGCTTCAATCCTGGACGTCTGGCGAGCATTGCCTCCCTGGTAGCCATTCCCATCACTAGATTCAGGAGTCAGTCTCATCCCCAAAACAAGCCAAAGGCCAGCGATCCAGGTTATCACCCACTTGCGCCAAATAGACTGTGCGTATCATACGTCGACAGTCCACCCTCATGGTTCAGATCGGTGCGTAGTGTCAAATCACTGAGCTCCCCGCTCGGAGAACGAGTGTTGATGTGATACGGCGGGTTCAGAAGGTCATCTCCCTCGTGGCTGGGCACCTTCTGTTCCACCGAATCCTGCCCCTGGACCTCGCCTGTCGATTTCTCCGGGTTGCCGAACAAAATCTGGTCCGCGTCCCTCGACTGAAGGCGTTTCTCGGTCTCTGGGAACCCTGGAATAGGGCGGGGAGGATCTCGCACTGGTGGTGGGTTCGGAGGTAGGCCCTGATCCTTGGCCGCCTGCTCTGGGTCGTCGCAGGGGAATCTGCAGAAATTGGCCGGCTCATTCATGTCGATCCTGATTTGTGAATACACAGGTTAGAAAGACTGCAATCGGTGATTATATCCGTCAGGTTCGGTACCACTCACCAGACGCCATCGATGTTGACACCGGTATCAGGATTGAAGAAATCATGGAACATCTGAACCCAATACTCGGTGGTATTTGGATTAAGCCAGTCGGGATACAAAGTAACGCCCTATTCAACCATGTCAATTTCAACACTCCCGAGAAAACCATATGAATCCGAAACTCTTCATACCGGCCACACGACACTGCGATAGAGTGAGGTTTCGTTAAACTTGAGGAAGGCATTCATCTCAACTCCCTTGTGGTAAGGATAGTTGTCGTACTCGGCGATGGCCGGATCGACCATCATGATGTAGTGCTGTTGCCGGCTATGCAGATAGTCGACGATATTCCGCACCTTGCTGAGTGGGAAGTTCCCAGCATCTAGCGTGAACATGCGTCGGTGATCCATGTAGTCGATATCCGTCCACATAGTTCTGCACAGACGTTAGCGATTCTGCTCAAACCGAGCCCTGGGGAGGAGTCAACCTACTCGAGCGGGATGCCTGCAACAGAGTAGTTGTAGACAACTTCAGCCACCTCGAACCAGTCTCGATAGCCCCATTTGCACTGATGGAACTGCAAACGAGAGTCAGCAAGAAGAAAAGAATCCAAAGGTTATCCCAGAATCAAAAGAGCTTACACCCAAACTCCAGTATGGGACCATGGCCGGAAGTCCCACCACATCAGAGTACTGCTTCGCCACCTCAACTGGGCTCGGACCCGCGAGGAAGTAAAAGTCGAAGATGCCCCCGATGGCCAGGTACTCGAGATAGCTGTTCCCGTTCTCGTCCTGGTCAATCTTCACGTCCATCCCGTTCGCGTTCATCAGGAAGACGCCGTGCGTGCCGCCCAGGCGATGGTCCACGTAGACGGGGTGCGTCCCGTACAGGTTCTCGCCATAGGGGATCCCGGACGAGTCGCGAGCCCACAGGGTGCGCTTGTACCCTTTATTCTGGAGGCGGAAGGAGTCCGAGTGCTCCCCCAGGCCGTACAGGTTGGGGTCGCTCGGCAGCCACGTCTTGAGGCGCAGGAACTGGCGCTCGAAGATGAAGGCCGACCCCGTGCTGTCGAAGAGGGCCTCGCCGGTGGACTTGCGCACCACCTTGAAGCTGAAGGGATTGTGCTTGAACTCAAATGCGAGCTTGGACTTGGAGGCGACCGAGCCGGCGGCGATGCCAGGGCGAGGGATCACCTCCTCTGGGATCTGGAAGCGCTGACCCTCGCGGTCTTGGATTGCCACCCGAAGTCGTGAGTCTGTCTGATATTCCACTAGCAGAGTGAGGTTCGCGACATCAGGGCCGTATACCTGACACCCAGCACCATTAATACTCAGGTCAGCCTGCAATCCATGTGCCGTCTCGGTGACTTTGGTGACATTATAGCCGAGGCAGGACCCAAACTCGGTATCAACATTCAATGCATAGGCAAAGGTGAAGATGGCCGACAGGGCCAATAATATATGCGGAATGAGCAGCATTCTGTATAAAACTAAATGATAATCGTATCACAGCAATAGGAAGGTTCGGAATTAAACCGATTTGGAGACGAGAAGGAGGGTACTGCTCCCTCTAACCCCTCTTCTCAAGTGTAGAATTAATTCACCCAGTAGCCAGAATCTCCGGCATTGGATGGATGGATTTAGACTGATCCAAAATGCAAGACACGGACGGCTCCGATCCGATAGATAAGTAAATAAATACACGGGCAGATGGGCGATGCGGGGAAGCTCGAGCTGCGCCGGAACAAAGCGATCAGCCGCACCTCATTGGGCAGGCCGTCAGACCGTGACTTGACTCATGTCACTTCCCCGCCGGGAGCGTTTCATCGGGCGTATCATATGGTTCATGTGTCATGTGTCATGTGTTATTGCCGTTGGTTGCAAATGCGAGGTGGTATTCTGAGCGCGTGAAAACAATGATCGTCATCGAGTACATCATGTAGCATCCGGCTGCCTCCCCGCAGAGATGCAATTACGAGGTGTTACTGTGCATGGAACGAAACAATGTAGGTTATTAAGTATGTCATGTAGTATCCAATCATGTAGTATCCGTTCACCCTGTCCAAGAGTGCCCACGCACATGAATATATATATATACATACGGTGCAATGGTATATCACCCGCCCTCCCCTCTCTTCAGATATGATGCTACTGCAAGTCTCATGGCCGGCCACTCGTGATCCGGGCAATCCTTGCAAACGTATGCTGAGAATACAAAATAGGTAGGCGTATGTCCCAGCCACCCTCCTCGAAGAGAAATCCTATAATAAAAAAAATATAACCGTAAATCAACACGCGCCTCATGAAGCTGCCGTTGTTGCCTGACAAACCCCGTGTCTATAATCAACCCAAGATCTCCATAAATAAACGCATGACTCCAGGACAGCTATCCATCATGGCCAGGGGGTATCACACAGTTTCTCCATCAAGGAAGCACAAGCAAGCGCTCGCCAAAAAAGAGGTTTGTGGCAAAAAGAAAAAGAAGAGGAAACCTGGAGCTTAGCCAAGCCCCATGAACTCATTCTGGCGCAAGAAACTCTTGGCCAGTTCATCACCACCTTGCTCCGCTGCCTCCATCCAGTGGACAGCAACACACATCAACCCAGGGTCATTCCGGACATCACCTTCGTTGCCACCAGCATCTCCGAGCCCACCGCCGCCGTTACCGCCTCCTCTTCCTCCAGGTCCGGGATGGCCTAGTGAGCCCACACCTCCACCTCCCCCAGAGGCCCTGCCTCTATCATTACGGCCGTACTTGTCCATGACCGTTTGTTTAAACACCTCTCGTGGTTTTGAAAGTGGAAGCGTAGTTCTTTCCACAAACTCTGGGTTTGACAGATAGAACAGGGCCAGCTCTCTTTGAGCGGTAGGGTAGCCCTCCTTGGCTGTGATGGCGTACATCTTGCCAGCATCTTCAAGCTTGTATGCCGTTGAAGGAGGGGGCGGTGTGCCTGTTGACGATGGCATAACATCAACCGTAGTTTCATTCACCGTCTTGCGGACATTCGTATGTGCAGCCACAATTTCGTCTGCCATTTCCACCATTGTCCTGCACACCTCGGACTTGATCTTTAAGGCGGCCAGGCCGGTGTTCCAGAAAGCCTTTCCGCGGTCCGGCTTGTCGAGAACAGACGGAGTCACGAATGAAGCAATAAGCTGGAGGTCGCGGAATAGTGACTGTGGCCGGATGGATGAATCGCGGAACAGAATTTGCAGTTCGCTGGTAATCAAATCTGTGTAGCCGGCACCAGTCGATCCGATGGATCTTATGTCAGATCCATTTTGTCGGCCTTGACTACCCAACCCATTCGAAGCTAGGGACGAATGCTGCAAGGCCTGTGATCGCCGCTCCCTGACATTGCCAATGGTACCTTCGAGCAGCGTTGGTTTGTAGTCCCGCCCGTGCTCCTCCACAACACTAGAGCCAGCATCAGACCTATTCCACCGAGGCCTCTTGTTGCCATTTGATGATAGTGAAGCGATTATTAGGCTCTCCAGTTCATTCAGGGCATTCAACTTGGCATAGGGGTTTGGGTGGACGGAGAACATGTTCAGCAATCGTTGATACGACTTTCGGAATGGAAATGCCCCATCCTCGTCTTTCTGGGAGGAGTTACTGCGGGCGCCCGGGTCACTTGAAGCCGTTGGCGTCTCATTGCCTGGCAGAGAGCGATCATCCGCAATATCAGATGCCCGATCAGAGGACGTATCGCCAACAACGCGTAGGTTCCCAAAGCTCTTTTTCTTTTCAATGACCCTAGGACGTGCTGGGTTCCGGTGTGACTTTTCTTTGTTCCGGCGAGCACGTCGATCCAGGGCATTCTTGCGCTCGATGCATTGCTGCCCGATTTGGTTGAACCACACGTCGGTTTCACAACCATGAGCCAAAACCTGGCTGCCAAGGTCGGATAGTAATAGGCTAATCAACGATTGCTTGAGCTCATTGAGAAACCGAGTCTTCTCATCCTCTGCACGATGTTGAAAGACCGTCTCATTCGACGAAGCCGAAGTCCCTGGCCTCCCTGTAGAAAAGCTTGAATTTGAAGGGAGCAAGCCATGGTTAGGTCCAGAAAATGTTGTTGAAAGGTTCGTCAGACTTGTAGTTGGTGAATATGCTCGTGATATTCCCGAGCTCGGAGACATGGCTGGTTGAAAGGGGGTCCAGAAAGTGCTCGATGAATCCATATTATTCACCGGAGAGCCTCTGTCAAAGTATTCGTGCCCTTCCATCATATCTGACAATGGTGCACTCCCCCGATGAGAGCCGTGTCTTGAGGAGTCAAAAGAGTGCTGGCTGGGGGCGTGCCCAGACCCACTGCGAAGATCTCGGTTGATGGAGCCTGGGCGGCTTGAAGATGACGCGAATCTTCGATCTCCATCACTGATGATGCTTGCGTTGTCATCAGCGGACCAGGACTGCTCACGTTCTCGAGCCCTTAGTCTGTCGTAAACGAGCTTGTCCCTCTTGTAAAGCTCGCTAGACCATAGAACTGGAGCTTCGCGAAGCGTTTCTCCAACAAGCTTGGAAATACACCGATCCACCTCACAGCAAAAACGATGTATTCTCTCCTCGCCTTGGCAGAAGTTCTCCATGCCATATTGCTTCAACCAAGCCGTTGTCAGCTCGGCCTGATCGTCGCTTAGCTTATTTGGTCCTCCCTGCTCTTCCGAAGCTGCGAGAAGATCCATGATCTGGGACTCGGTACGATATAAATAAGAAGGACCTTGCCCGCGGGCCATCTTCGCTCGTGACCGCAAGAATGAGCTTGAATGACGAGAAATCCCCATTGTTTTTAATGCTTGGCAGATGTCGCGGCTGTGTGCGAATTCCTTGGAGTTACGCACATCAGTCACGTACCACATCTTGTCCCGAACTGCTCTTACTCGCTTCATCATCCGCTCAATCAGGCCTTCGTGACGTTCCTGGCTCTGTTTCAGCCAGATGAGCCAAGCGTCGTAGTCCTCGATAGCCGCAGCAGATCTGCGGATCGTGTCACGAGGACCACGGGAGAAGATATTGATAAGAGCAGCGAATCCGTTCTGACGGAGTGAAGGCGATGTGAGAGCATTGAGCTGCTTCAACGTCTTCCAGTACACATGAGAAGACACGAAGTCGGCCTGTGCTTTAGATTGGGAAGAGGCTGCTTTGAGCATAGTGATGAGGACTGGCTCTGGACCGTCATCTGCTTCGCCCACGTCGGACACCTTGGAGTCCCGCCTTGCCGATGCGGCGGGAGTTGAGGTCGCAGTCTCCGCGTTAGCGTGCCTTCTGTAGGGGTTACGACTGGCCATTGAACTTTCAGTCATAATGACTTTGTTCCTTGACCGGTACTTTTTCAAGCCCGATGCGCGGTTGCTCAGCTGCGCGGTCCCTTCAGGCTCAAGGCTCCTCGGGATCTCATAGTCTTGCACCAGGCGAAGAATGGAATCACGGAGTTGGTGGTAATCCTTGTCTAGAGGGGGGCCGCTGTTCGCCTCATCCTCGTCAGTGTCGGTGCTAGAGGAGTTTTCCTCCTCGTCAAACTCTTCGTCGGGATCATAGGTCATATGAGTTGATAAGCTTTTACCGTCGGTAGAGATGAAAAGAACCATCCAGCGCTCAGCGCATGGGTGGCAAGAACCCCGCATAACTTCAGGCCCGAGGGTTTGGGTCATTTCGTGCAGAGCAAGACGAAGTCTGTAACCATCGTCCTCATACTTGCTCAGGCGCCTCTGTGCCTCGGAGTCCACTGGGGGCGAGTAACGCTGAGGAGTTGTTGACGCTCCGTCATCCAAAAAGCCATCGGGTGACGTTGTTGTGTCGCTCAAAACAGAAGAGGCACTGGTGCTGATGATGGACACCGTGTCGAAGCTCTTGGGTTGCGAGAAAGGTATTGGCTGCGAGATGGCTGACATTCCTGAGATGGACGCTGGGCCAGATCTGAAAGTGCTAGAGGCAGCAGATAAGGGTCTACGCTCTGGGAACAGTGCGTTCACCAGAGAGAGCAAATCCGCAGGGCTGATGACCAAGTACGGGTGTACTTCCACGGTCTCCCTCAAGGAGGTGATTGATCTCGCCGGCAGGAGCTTGGCCGCAGGGACCTTGGACCGCGAGCCTTGGAATCTCGCCAAGATGCTTTCCACATGGCCCTTAATCTTTAGAGGGACCTCCACAGGGACACATGTTGCTGAAGGCTTACCGCTCCACATACTGGAGACATACTCATGAGCCTTCAAGGCAACCTTCTTCAAGATCTTCTCCCGGGCATATGGAGTGATGTGGTAATCCACAAGCATGCCATACGATTCAGGATGAATGATGACGCCCAGCAGAAAGACGAAAAAGAGGCACCTCCATACCAGCCATCTAGAAGTGTTTTCGACCAGTTTACGGTCCAGCCTTTTGAGGATGGCGTTTCCCAGCTCAAGAAGGCCTTCCGGGATACCGGTGGCGTCGTCGTCGTCGATCATCTCAAACAAATCGTCCACCGCATTGTTGT